TTGCCCGCCGCCTGGACGACCACAGCCTGAGGACGGGTTGCCCGCCGCCTGGACGACCACAGCCTGAGGACGGGTTGCCCGCCGCCTGGACGACCACAGCCTGAGGACGCCGCCTGGACGACCACAGCCTGAGGACGGGTTGCCCGCCGCCTGGACGACCACAGCCTGAGGACGGGTTGCCCGCCGCCTGGACGACCACAGCCTGAGGACGGGTTGCCCGCCGCCTGGACGACCACAGCGTGAGGACGGGTTGCCCGCCGCCTGGACGACCACAGCCTGAGGACGGGTTGCCCGCCGCCTGGACGACCACAGCGTGAGGACGGGTTGCCCGCCGCCTGGACGACCACAGCCTGAGGACGGGTTGCCCGCCGCCTGGACGACCACAGGCTGAGGACGGGTTGCCCGCCGCCTGGACGACCACAGCCTGAGGACAGGTTGCCCGCCGCCTGGACGACCACAGCCTGAGGACAGGTTGCCCGCCGCCTGGACGACCACAGCCTGAGGACAGGTTGCCCGCCGCCTGGACGACCACAGCCTGAGGACAGGTTGCCCGCCGCCTGGACGACCACAGGCTGAGGACGGGTTGCCCGCCGCCTGGACGACCACAGGCTGAGGACAGGTTGCAATTCTTTTCTCGATGATTAACCAAATTCTGCTTCTAGACAATTTTTTATTATTTATTAACTTTCACTCACATGAGTATCTATAATTCACCTGTGAATCTACCACTCGCCTGTGAATCTACCACTCCCCTGTGAATCTACCACTCGCCTGTGAATCTACCACTCGCCTGTGAATCTACCACTCGCCTGTGAATCTACCACTCGCCTGTGAATCTACCACTCGCCTGTGAATCTACCACTCGCCTGTGAATCTACCACTCGCCTGTGAATCTACCACTCGCCTGTGAATCTACCACTCGCCTGTGCATCTACCACTCGCCTGTGAATCTACCACTCGCCTGTGCATCTACCACTCCCCTGTGCATCTACCACTCGCCTGTGAATCTACCACTCGCTTGTGTATCTACCATTCGCCTGTGCATCTACCACTCCCTTGTGTATCTACCATTCGCCTGTGCATCTACCACTCCCCTGTGCATCTACCACTCGCCTGTGCATCTACCACTCTCCTGTGCATCTACTCCTCGTCTGTGCATCTACCGCTCGTCTGTGCATTTACCACTCGTCTGTGCATCTACTACTCGCCTGTGTTGCTATCACTCCCCTGTGAATCTACCACTCACCTGTGCATATACCACTCGCCTGTGAATCTACAACTTGCCTGTGAATCTACCACTCACCTGTGCATCTACCACTCGCCTGTGCATCTACCACTCGTCTCTGCATCTACCACTCACCTGTGAATCTACCACTCGCCTGTGCATTTACCACTCGCCTGTGAATCTACCACTCGCCTGTGCATTTACCACTCGCCTGTGAATCTACCACTCGCCTGTGCATTTACCACTCGCCTGTGAATCTACCACTCGCCTGTGCATTTACCACTCGCCTGTGAATCTACCACTCGCCTGTGCATTTACCACTCGCCTGTGCATCTACTACTTTGCTCCAGCAGTAGAGACAACAGCCAAGTCGTTTATGTTCTTCAGTTTACTCCTCTCTCCGTGATACTGATAACATTTTGTTGTTCTTGATTCTGTTGTTGTTGTTGTTGGTGGTGGTAGTGTTGTTGTGTTGTTTTGTGCTGTTGTTGTGTTTTGTTGTTGTGTTGTCGTTGTTGCTATTACTGTTGTTGTTGTGTTCTTGTTGTTGTGTTCTTGTTGTTGTGTTCTTGTTGTTGTGTTCTTGTTGTTGTGTTGTCGTTGTTGCTATTACTGTTGTTGTTGTGTTCTTGTTGTTGTGTTTTTGTTGTTGTGTTGTCGTTGTTGCTATTACTGTTGTTGTTGTGTTCTTGTTGTTGTGTTCTTGTTGTTGTGTTCTTGTTGTTGTGTTCTTGTTGTTGTGTTGTCGTTGTTGCTATTACTGTTGTTGTTGTGTTCTTGTTGTTGTGTTCTTGTTGTTGTGTTCTTGTTGTTGTGTTGTCGTTGTTGCTATTACTGTTGTTGTTGTGTTCTTGTTGTTGTGTTCTTGTTGTTGTGTTGTCGTTGTTGCTATTACTGTTGTTGTTGTGTTTTTCGTTTTTGTTGTGTTGTTGTTGTTGTCGTTGTGTTGTTGTTTTCGTTGTTGTTGAGGCTGTTGTGTTGTTGTTGTTATCGTCGTTGTTGTTGTGGTTGTTGTGGTTGTTGTTCTTGTTCATGTTGTTGTTCTTGTTTTCTTGTTCTTGTTCTTCTTGTACTTGTTGATGTCGTTGTTGCTGTTGTTGTTGTTGTTCATTTTGTACCGGGTTGTCATTATTATTGTTGTTGTAGTGTTTGTTATTGTGGTTGTTCCTCTTTTTCTTCTTCTTTTTGTTCTTATTTTTGTCATCGTTGTTCCGTCTCTTGTTGCTGTTCTCCTCCCCTCTGTCACCTCCATGTTCTCCTCCCCTCTGTCACCTCCATGTTCTCCTCCCCTCTGTCACCTCCATGTTCTCCACCCCTCTGTTTTCTCCATGTTCTCCACCCCTCAGTCACCTCCATGTTCTCCTCCCCTCTGTCACCTCCATGTTCTCCTCCCCTCTGTCACCTCCATGTTCTCCTCCCCTCTGTCACCTCCATGTTCTCCACCCCTCTGTTTTCTCCATGTTCTCCACCCCTCAGTCACCTCCATGTTCTCCTCCCCTCTGTCACCTCCATGTTCTCCTCCCCTCTGTCACCTCCATGTTCTCCTCCCCTCTGTCACCTCCATGTTCTCCTCCCCTCTGTCACCTCCATGTTCTCCTCCCCTCTGTCACCTCCATGTTCTCCTCCCCTCTGTCACCTCCATGTTCTCCTCCCCTCTGTCACCTCCATGTTCTCCTCCCCTCTGTCACCTTCATGTTCTCCTGTCTTCTGTCACCTCCATGTTCTCCACCCCTCTGTCACCTCCATGTTCTCCCCCTCTGTCACCTCCATGTTCTCCTCCCCTTTGTCACCTCCATGTTCTCCACCCCTCAGTCACCTCCATGTTCTCCACCCCTCTGTCACCTCCATGTTCTCCACCCCTCTGTCACCTCCATGTTCTCCACCCCTCTGTCACCTCCATGTTCTCCTCCCCTCTGTCACCTCCATGTTCTCCTCCCCTCAGTCACCTCCATGTTCTCCTCCCTCTGTCACCTCCATGTTCTCCACTTCTCTGTCACCTCCATGTTCTCCACCCCTCAGTCACCTCCATGTTCTCCTCCCCTCTGTCACCTCCATGTTCTCCACCCCTCTGTCACCTCCATGTTCTCCTGTCTTCTGTCACCTTCATGTTCTCCTGTCTTCTGTCACCTCCATGTTCTCCTGTCTTCTGTCACCTTCATGTTCTCCTGTCTTCTGTCACCTTCATGTTCTCCTGTCTTCTGTCACCTTCATGTTCTCCTATCTTCTGTCACCTTCATGTTCTCCTGTCACCTTCGTGTTCTCCTATCTTCTGTCACCTTCATGTTCTCCTGTCACCTTCATGTTCTCCTATCTTCTGTCACCTTCATGTTCTCCTGTCACCTTCATGTTCTCCTGTCACCTTCATGTTCTCCTATCTTCTGTCACCTTCATGTTCTCCTGTCACCTTCATGTTCTCCTATCTTCTGTCACCTTCATGTTCTCCTATCTTCTGTCACCTTCATGTTCTCCTGTCATTTGTCACCTTCATGTTCCACTCCCCCAGCGTCACCTTCACCCTCCACTTTCATCTTCCTCCCCTTCACATGAGGTCATCTGTATTTACCGAGCAGCATACTCAATGAGGCTCCGGACTGCTCGTGGGGCGGGTTTCTCTTCCATGTCTGTGAGAGGGTGTGTCCCCTCACCTGACTATGTGTGTGTCCCCTCACATGGTTATGGGTGTGTCACCTCACCTGGTTATGGGTGTGTCCCCTCTCCTGGTTATGGGTGTGTCCCCTCACCTGGTTATGGGTGTGTCCCCTCACCTGGTTATGGGTGTGTCCCCTCACCTGGTTATGGGTGTGTCCCCTCACCTGGTTATGGGTGTGTCCCCTCACCTGGTTATGGGTGTGTCCCCTCACCTGACTATGGGTGTGTCCTCTCACATGGTTATGGGTGTGTCCCCTCACCTGGTTATGGGTGTGTCCCCTCTCTTGGTTAGGAGAGTGTCCCCTCACCTGGTTATGGGTGTGTCCTCTCACATGGTTATGGGTGTGTCCCCTCACCTGGTTATGGGTGTGTCCTCTCACATGGTTATGGGTGTGTCCCCTCACCTGGTTATGGGTGTGTCCCCTCTCCTGGTTAGGAGAGTGTCCCCTCACCTGGATATGGGCGTATCCGTACCTCTGGATATGGGTGTGTCTCTTCACCTAGACATGGGTGCGGCCTCATCTCGGACTGTCCGGTTCAATTGTGTAAGTCCAAGCACATGATATGGTACTGGCCCGCCCGCGCCTCCCTGCTGGTTGTATCCTTAAATACTCACTTCTTAAAAACAATCCTGGTTCATGGTTCCCCTACTAATTAACAGCATTAGAATGCATTTTTAAGTGTTCCAGTTTATAGATGGGAATATTCGTATTGTTACTTGATAATCAACCAAACCACTTTTTTAGTCTTATCAGAGATTTCTGTAAATTGCCTCCATCGTCAGTGTTAAAATAAAATCGATAATTAGCTTAAATGAGATGTTAAAATCTTAGCAGCTCCGAGGGAAGCTTAGGGTCTTACCCTAAGTTTACCCCTGGGGAAGTTTAGGGTCTTACCCTAAGTTTACCCCTGGGGAAGTTTAGGGTCTTACCCTAAGTTTACCCCTGAGGAAGCTTAGGGTCTTCCAGTTATCATAAGGAAGTCAGGGCGTACACCCTACACAACAGGTGACACATGACGGGGCACAAGCTCGGGTACATCCCCTCCCACTAGATGTGGGGGTATGTCTCCTCCTCTGGACATTGATGCGTCCCTCCCACCTAGATGTTCCATCAGGTGACATCTGATGTGTCTAAATGGTGGTGTAGTAGACGAGGTGGGGCGAAGGGGAAGTGGTGCAGTAGACGAGGTGGGGCGAAGGGGAAGTGGTGCAGTAGACGAGGTGGGGCGAGGGGGTGGTGGTGCAGTAAACGAGGTGGGGCGAGGGGGTGGTGGTGCAGTAAACGAGGTGGGGCGAGGGGGTGGTGGTGCAGTAGACGAGGTGGGGCGAGGGGGTGGTGCAGTAGATGAGGTGGGGCGAGGGGTTGGTGGTGCAGTAGACGAGGTGGGGCGAGGGGGTGGTGCAGTAGATGAGGTGGGGCAAGTCAAACAGGGTAGTGAGAGGGGGGCCTGGTCAACAAATGGGTTGCTCTACAAGCCCAGTTAGCCTCGGCCGGTATCCTGACGCACTTTCTTAACAACAGCTGGCCCGGACCGGATGACCGCCACCATGGTAGTACTTTTTTATACTTTTTGGTAAAGAGGCTCCCATGGGTAGCCAAGACGGGCTTGGAAATATCCTTCAGGATTATTTTTTTTAGTTTAGTCGAGGATAAAAGCATAGGTTACTCTCGTTTTCTATGAAGATGGTCGGACACACACACACACACACACACACACACACACACACACACATTGCTCACTGGGGCAATGTTGCATCCTGTGACCGGCTGCAAGACGACGTTGCAAGCACGTGAAGGGGAGAGGGTTTTACGCAAGGTTCCCATGGAGAGAAGAGCCAAATCCAATCGCATCCTAGGTCTAGCTGTTCGATTCGCGGGCAGAACGATACATTTGGACATGTTTCCTAATACCCAATACTGAATTTACCTAACTTTATCATGACCAATAGGTTATTGAATGACGGTTGAAAGGCAGGACCAAAGAACTGAAGCTCAACACCCCCAGAGCAACCATAACTAGGTGTGGTTGCGCCTCACAATAGGAAGTTAGTCACCTATTGTGGGGCGTGTCCTGGAAGGTCAGCCATTGGCTAGCGGGACCTCGATAAGCCTAACAAGCTCCCTGTCTCCGACAATTAGAAACCCAAACACGAGATCCATAATGGATTCACCTCCGTATTGGAAGCACTTCAGTCCGCCAATCATTAAAGCAAGGCTCTCCTCAGGAAGCACACAAGGTACCCGCAACGTTTCACTAACGTAAACATAACGTTACCCCGCCGTTGCAGCAACGTAAGCACAACGTTGCACCACAGTTGTGGTCACGTTGTGTGCTTGATGGGGTGAGCACATGTCCCTCGTCTCCAGGCAGAACAATAGACAGGAGGAGGAGGAGGAGGTGCTTTACAGTTGAAAAGGTGCTTAGTCGTTGTCTGTCTTGTATTTCATGGACAGCTAGGCTCATTTCCCCACCAAAATAGTATATTATGTCCTTGTATTTTCATCGTACACTTTCGCTCTGTATATATATATATATATATATATATATATATATATATATATATATATATATATATATATATATATATATATATATATATATATGTCGTACCTAGTAGCCAGAACGCACTTCTCAGCCTACTATGCAAGGCCCGATTTACCTAATAAGCCAAGATTTCCTGAATTAATATATTTTCTCAAATTTTTTTCTCATGAAATGATAAAGCTACCCATTTCATTATGTATGAGGTCAATTTTTTTTATTGGAGTTAAAATTAACGTAGATATATGACCGAACCTAACCAACCCTACCTAACCTAACCTATCTTTATAGGTTAGGTTGGGTTAGGTAGCCAAAAAAGCTAGGTTAGGTTAGGTTAGGTAGGTTAGGTAGTCGAAAAAACATTAATTCATGAAAACTTGGCTTATTAGGCAAATCGGGCCTTGCATAATAGGCTGAGAAGTACGTTCTGGCTACTAGGAACACAGAGCATTCAGGGAAAAACTTGCCATTTAACTCTGAATACGTAAGAGTGTTCGCTTCTCCTACCATCCCCCTTTTTATGGTGTACACTTTATTATGCAAGGTTATACAGTTACATATCTGATTTTATTATATATATATATATATATATATATATATATATATATATATATATATATATATATATATATATATATGTGTATATATATATATATATATATATATGTATATATATATATATATATATATATATATATATATATATATATATATATATATATATATATATATATATATATATATAACGAGGGAGAGGAACAGGTGAAGGGAACAGTTAGAACTGGGAAATGCAGGGTCCGTCATGGTAGCAGGCGGGCTGTCCGCCTTCCTGACGTTTTTGTATAGATGGTGTGCCAAACTGTGCCATGGCCCCCCCCCCCCCCACCCCTTTCACACCTGGTTCCACCCCCTTCCTTCTCCTCTTTTTCTCTGTCTTTTCCCTTCCTCATCTTCCTCTTCTTTCCATGGAAAAAATGTCAAGAGCAACATAGCGACCTCTTTGTGACCTTCGTCAGTCTGACCAAGGCCTTTGATACGGTCAGCAGAGATGGCTTGTGGAAGGTAATGGAGAAGTTGGGCTGTCCAATCACTTGGGCTCGACAGTAGAGCGACGGTCTCAATTCATGCAGGTCGACGTTCAATCGCCGACCGTCCAAGTGATTGGACACCATTCCTTTCCAACGTTCCTGGAACATTCTTTGAGAGGGTTCTCGGAGTTTTTCTACTCCCCGTGGCCAGGCTCGACATATGATAACTTAATGGATCCAACAGACTGTTGCTTGGAGCAGCCCGCAGGCCCACATATCCCCTACAACCTGGTTGGTCTGGCACTTCTTGCAAAAACTTATCTAAGTGTCTCTTGAATACATAGACCTATGTTCCAGCAATATTTATAATACTTGCTGGGAGTGTGTTGAACAGCTGTGGACCTCTGATGTTCAGACAGTGTTCTCTGATTGTGCTTATGGCACCTCTACTCTTCATTGGTTCTATTCTGCATTTCCTTCCGTATCTTTCATTCCAGTATGTTGTTATTCTGTTGTACAAATTTGAGCCCTGGCCTTCAAGTATCTTCCATGTATATATTATTTGATACCTCTGTCGTCTCCTTTCCAAAGTACATTTTGAAAGCTTTGAGACAGTCCTCCCATTTCAGATGTTTTATCGTTTCTGTGCGGGCCGTGTATGTTCTCTGTATTCCCTCTAATTCAGAGAGATCTCCCGCTCTGAAAGTGGAAGTGAGTACCGAGCAATATTCAAGGCGGGACAACACCAGTGATTTAAATAGTATTAGCATTGCTGTGGGGTCTTTGGTATCAACGTTCTCATAATCCATTATAAAATTTTCCTGGCCGCCGCTATATTTGCTCGGTTATGTTCACTAAATGTCAGGTCGTCAGACATCATAATTCCCAAATAATTTACGTGTTGCTTTCCTTCTATGAGTAGGTCTGGTTGTGCCCTGTACCATGTATTTCTTTTAAGTTTAAGTCTAATTTCAAATCCATATCCCGATCCCTATTAATTGGGCTTGATAGTCATATGTCCCAGCAAGTCCGACACAATTGTCCTGCAGTGCCATGATGACATGATGGCGTACTGGACGATGGAGATGCGTCAAAAGCCATCCTAGTGACGAACTGCGTAAAGCAGGGCTGCGTTCTCGCCCAACACTCTTCAGCATGGCATTCTCGGCTCAGTGCTCTTCACGAATATCAGTTTTAATATGCAGTTGCAGTACTGCATTTCTTGGTTTATACCCAAAAAATACAGCCTTCGAAAAGCAAGCAAAATTACTTTTTTTTTTAACTGTGATTTTAGGTAAAAAAAAAAAATGAGAGGGGCATATGTTGGTTCGTTATATGGAGGTCAGTGAGAACAAGTGACTTTAAGTTAGCGCAACGCTCAAGGTGACCCCATCACCCACTCACACTTTCCATAACGACGGTTAATTTTTAAGGGCATTATCGGTGCTCTGGTGGCGAAGAATGAGGACACCGGCCCAGGAGCGGCACCTGTGAGGCAAGGACAAGGTAAACGGGTGACCAGGTCCAGGGGAGGCTTCGGGGGGGAGGGGCAGGGAAGAGGGTCGGATGGGGAAAGGTGATAGGCGGAAGGGAGGGCATAGGCGAGGGTGGAGGGGGGGGGGGTTGTAAGGAAAGAGGGGCGGAGGGGGGCAGGAAAAGGGAATCACCTTGGTGTTCAATTCCCTCAATGAATCCAGCTACGCGCCACGTGACTCCACGGCATCCTTACATGGGACGAGAAACGAGTGCAGCGAAGCATAACGGATAGGAGTGCAAGGAAGGGGGGGGGGGGATGGAAGAGGAGTGCCATGAAGGAGGACTGGATTGGAGTGTCAAGAGAGGGATGGGGGATAGGAATTCTAGGTAGAGGAGTTGAGGTCATAAAGCATTCTGTACAGCTCCATCATCTCAGCAGGTAATTACCACACCTCACTCGTCCTCTTGTGGTCAACCGGAGTTACGAACGTTAATGTGGAGTGATCCATCAGACAGCTTTATGGTGTTGAGTTCCTGCCTCGTGCAGCACGACATGATGCACTCCCGTGCAGTGGGAGGCGAAGAAGACAGGAGAGTAGGAAGGAGGAAGAGGGAAGAATTACGGGAAGGCAGAAGGAAGAAGAGAGAGGAATCAAGGAAGGGAGTAAAGGAAGAAGGAGGAAGGAGGGAGCCACAAAGAGGGAGGAAGGAAGGAAGGAAGGAAGAAAGGAAGGAAGGGAATTAAGGCAGGAGGAAGGAAGGAAGGAAGGGAAGGAGTGGGAAGAAAGGTTGTTTCACAGATGCTCACATGTTACTGAATGTTTCCATAGCAAACAACAGTACAAATACAAATAATAATAATAGACCAGTAATAGAATTAGTAATAATATTAATAATGCTAACAACAATAATGACCATATCAATTTCAATATTATTTAAATAAATAACGTCAATAATAAAAGAATTCTGGAAGCATTTGATCATAACGATCAAAAAAAAAATTAAATTCAAGTACACTCTAAAATAACAAATACATTTAATATCATTAAGTCACCTTCAACACCCAATAAGTGTAAACAGACATTTATATACAAATATATCATAAGAGCTTGACGATGACAAAAATCTTTGAAGCAGTGCGGTGGACTCGAACCGTTGGTGACGGGTCCTGGGTTACTACAAGGTGTCCTATGTCACGGGATTAATACCCTTGTCCTGCTCTGAACAATTTCCTCATCTTGTTAGCAGCAAAGTCACACACTAGCTGTCCGTCCCTCGGATTTATCCACTCACTGATATCAATCTTCCATTTTTCTACAGTGACACTATACATTGTCTCTATAGTGGCTCTATACCGTGCCTTTACATTGGCACTATACAAAATCTCTACAGTGGCACTATACCATGTCTCTATAGTGGCCCTATACCATGCCTTTAC